TGTCCTTGAACATAGGTAGCACCAACATCAAACTCCATCATAACAGAACCATCTTTCACAAGAAAGAACGTGTAACAAGTGGAAGAGGCAATATCTTATAACATTATGCCAGTCGAAGAGCATCATCAAGAGTGGCTAGAACAAGTGCATGTACAAGTCTTATAAAATCTTGATAAAGTGCTAGCCACAACATTCCCAACTATCGTGAATGTGATTTCGAGTATCGAAAGATTGTCAGATAGTCCTTTCGGACACTCTCTCCTTATTGCCATGACAGTAGGAGGTCAATACTGTTGGTTCCCTTTATAATCTCCACTCAAGCTAATTGAGAAACTGATTATCGCATGTGCATTTGACTAGATGAGTATAAGAACAGAATTCCTAAATGCTTTAAGTCATGTATACTTGATCTGGTTAGAGAAACTCATTCATTGATTTGCCCTTGCTAGTGTTGGGAACCCCCACGATATTGAGACTAGTCCCTAAATATTGTTATATAGTAGCTTACTGTGCTTGCCAAACACGTTTACTATTATGCCCTATGTGTTAGTTCCATTCTGGATCCATATGCTATTTATGGTAGGTGTTTAGATCCGCCCAAGAGGCATATCTATAGAATGTAGAGAATGTCCTAAACCCTATGATATTGTTTCTGCTTCCAAATTTGCAATCTAATACCATTCCATATTTAGTAAGTTTCACGCTTGTCCCAAAGACTAACTTTTGATACTAAGGGAGGCTTGGGGTGAAAGCCCAAAGCTTGTGTTCTTCAAGGGGGGGAGGGGGCTATGGGGAGTTCTAAATATATAGTAAAGATAGTGGTTAGAATGCATGTTTGACCACCTGAGACATTAATTTGGCTTCTGCTATGCTGTGTCACTCCTTGTTTTACATCTGGCTTGGGCTTAAGCCCAAACTCCATGCTACTTTAGTCGGTAGGGTACCCTCCTCTTTGTGTTAGGCCATTAGTATGCCAAAATCATGCTAAACACCATTTGATACTGTTTTGCATGTAAATGCTAGATATGAGGAGTTGATGCTTGTGGGATTAAGAGTGTACCAAACCCTTATTTTGTAGCACAATAAACTTGGAATTTAACTCCAAATTCAAGTGCACTACACCAACTTGATCCGTTTTAACATATTTGGTTTTACACGAAACAAGAGGCTCCAAAAGCAAATACCAAATTGCATCACTAACTCAAATGACCCTTAATAAAGATGATGCAATTGTTGGAAGGCATTATCATAATCATCAGTATATTCAAATACACGTTTAAAGATATTTGGAAGAATGCTTCAATCCACATGAATGGTTGCACTCAAACCATTGTATCATTATAACATTATCACTTGGAGACACATGAGAAACTCATGCAAATGCCAAATATCATCCCAAGAATGATAAGTAGCAATCACTATAAAGTGATCAAAACAAAAGTATACTTCATCCCCAAAATTCTCACAAAAGAATTTTAGTTGGAAGTAAAGATTAACAGTAAAAGTAGGAGGAGATAAACCACATGCTATGAATGCTATTATCAATTGAGTTTGATTGTTCAACTACAATTATATGGTATCGAACAATTGCATCAACTATTGCTCTAGAGTCAAAGAAGGAGGAAGCTACTACTCTATTATAAAGATGAATGAAAAGGAAAAAAGCCAAAAACTGAAATTCAAAAAGGTACAAGGAAAGTGAGATTTAGATACCAAAATCCTAAATCCAAGCACTCCCTAGGAACAATCAAAATTATTCCACACCTCCACCAATATGAGTGTATGGAATATTAAAATGGAATATAGAATATACATATTAATTAGCCCAAAAATCCAAGCTTATATATAATAGCAAGTGGTTTGGATTGAAACCAATTTCACAACTATTAAAATACCACTATGAATATAGTATATAGCATCATAGCTATATATTTAGACCTCACTATACATACATATATATACATACATATATACATACATACATATATATACATACATATATACATACATACATATATATACATACATATATACATACATACATATATATACATACATATATACATACATACATATATATACATATATATATACATATATATACATATACATATACATACATTCATATACATACATATACATATACATATACACATACATATACATACATATATACATACATATACATATATATACATACATATATATACATATACATACATATATATACATATACATATGTATATACATATATATATGTATATATGATGATAATATGATAATTTAGATCATACTTTAATATCCATGATCTATAACTCAAAATGGTAATCATTATTTTATATATATATATATATATGTATATGTATATATGTGTATATATGTGTTTCCAAGTGTTTGAATATGAGATAATTATCTAGGTAGGCCATTTGATTTTCATAATAAGAAAAATTATATTCACTATTTCTATTTAATCTTTGTCAATATGGATAAGTATAAGATAATAATATAAATTATATGATAATTTAGATCATACTTTATATCCATGATCTATAACTCAATAAGATAAAAACAAAGGTTTAAGGTTTAGGGTTTAGGGTTTAGGGCCTGGACCCCACAGCCATCAGATCCTAGGCCCAGGTTTCCAAGTGTTTGAATATGAGATAATTATCTAGGTAGGCCATATGCTTTTCATAATAAGAAAAATTATATTCACTATTTCTATTTAATCTTTGTCAATATGGATAAGTATAAGATAATAATATAAATTATATGATAATTTAGATCATACTTTATATCCATGATCTATAACTCAAAATGGTAATCATTATTTTATTATTAAGTTTTGATATTATTATTTCTTATGTAGATTGTATTCCAAGTGCATATATCTATTGGGGTAGAAATGACACTTTAAATGAAGAAGAAATGCAAATAGTTATTAATCAGCTAACTTTTCTTTTAAATGAAATAAATAGAAATGGAGATTATCCAAATAATTATGAACAGTCATTATCTTATGATGCTACAAGAGGTGTTGCTCTTACACAAATTAAGCGAATACCAAATGCTAATGAATTCTGTGAGCAAAGAAATAGGGATATAGTTAATGGAATCTCAATTTATCGTAGTTTAAATAATTTACTACGAAGATATAGACATGTTATTGATAACACACGTTCAAATTCTTGTAGTATCAACACTCATAACTATCGAATTCAATACTCCTTTTTCTTTTTTAAGAATTTGCTAAATTCAATTTTATCATATTACAATCCACTCTTGATTGGAAATAGATGTGATGATAAATTAAATGCAGGATTTATAAATAATATAATTTTTAAAGGCCAATTTATGATATCTCCAAATGGAAAAAACATATTATTAGTAGAGTCAAATTGTAAAGTTTCACTTTACTCTGGACAAAATTTTATATGGGAAACAAAAACTGCAAAACGTTATTATGGTTTATGTTTTCTTAAACTTCAAAATGATGGTAACCTTGTATTATATACAGAAGAAAATATAGTAATGTGGTCTATTAATAAATATTGCTCTAACACTCCTAATTGCTTTTTATTTACTTATCTTAGGCTACAAAATGATTGTAATTTAGTATCTTATATAATACATAGTGAAGAAGTTTGGTGGGATAGTAAAACATATAATCATGTTAAATGCTTAAATTAATTAAATTATTGTAGTTTTATATATAATATAACTATTTAAATTATAAAATTTAAAAACCTCAATTGGTTACTAAGTTTCATATCTTACATACATTATTTTGTAAACACAAAATCTATCAATTTAATATAATATATTATAATTTTAAATTAATTAATATAAATTATTTTATATAGAAAATTATATATTGCTATAGAAAAGATAGTCTTAAGTCACATATTAAATACTATACAGTTTTTTTAATTATTTAAGTAATTTCTTTTTACTTTAGTTAAAAAGTTTGGTGGGATAATAATACATATAATCATGCTGAATACTTAAATTATTGAAGTTTTATAAATAAAAATTAATTATTTAATAAATTAAATTTCTTACTTCTTAAGATTTTCTAAATTAACACAAAATCTATGCATTTAATAATTACAAAGTTTTTTTAAGTCACAAAATTAATCTACTATGATTGTGTGTTATACAAACTAATTCTACCATACCTCAAACAATTTTTAAACATGAGATGTATTTTGCGTATTTACCCAACGCATGTAATTAAAACTTATATTAAAAATTAGAGCAAAACAATACTCTTTTGAATGTAACTGACTTTTATATTGAATATGGTTAACTTTTTTTTTGTAATAATGCACTGCGAAAAGTATTATAACAAAATGCACCAAACGTTATGACCTTATTTGGATTACACCATAAAATTATGTAAACTTTGTGAAGCAAACAAAGTATTTAATACATATAAATAACTAATTTAATCTAGTTATTTTTAAAAATTAATTAATTGAAATATATTTAATTTGTTTTGTGCATTTGATTTGCTAGATACACATGTAATTGCTTTTTGTTATATATAACTTGGCCCTCACAGTATATATATTATTTTAGATTATCTTTTTTAGTTGCTAAATACTTTGGCCAGAGTTATTTTTTAAATATTGTAAATGGAATAGATAAAGCAACATATAGGTTTTTGGTCCAGGTTATATAGCATTAAGAAAACATTTTTAAACCAAATTTTATGTGTTTGGAATCTTAATTTTAATGGTTCAAGGCATGTGCATGCATGCACAATTCAATTAATACTTAATTACTTTATATTATATACACTTTATAAGGATTCTAACTGAATTATACTATTTGAAAAATTCTTTTTATAATACAATATTCAACTCTTTTTGACACTTATGTGTGCTGTAAGTACTGAAGAATATGAATAATAAAAATACAATAGTTTATTAATATAATTCAATATATAAAAGATTAAATTGTAGTATCCAAGTGTATTTTATATATATTCCAATATAATATTGTTTTGGTTAGAAATTGCTTTATTCAAATTATATACTAATGAAAAGGTACAATTGCTTCAAATGTTTGGAGAGTTAGAATATGCATGCTCGTTAACGGTACCCAAGTTGGACCATTTGATCTAGCACTAGGTGCCGCAGCTCATGCAAATCCTTGCTCTTCTTGAGCCCCTCTAGCAAGATGCTATAAGTTATATGATCTGGAATGACACCATTGTCAATCATCTCCTGGAAGTAGTCCAGCGCCTCGGCCACCCTGCCCGCCTTGCACAGCCCATCAATAAGCGAGCTGTACGCAATGGTATCCAGCGCGGTACCGCCGGCGGCAACACACCTCGCCTTGGCCTGCTCCAGCAGCACCACCGCCGAGTCCACCCTCTCCATCCTACACATCCCGTGGATCAGGATGTTGTAAGTCACGGCACTGGGAGCGCAGTTACTCCGCTCCATCTCCTCCACCAGCTCGATCGCCTCGTCCAAGTGATTGAGATCGCACAGCCCCTTGATGAGCGAGTTGTAAGTCATGGTCGATGGCGGCGTCCCCATCCGGACCATCCTGGCCAGCAGCAAATGCGCCTCGTCCACTCTCCCGGCCTTGCACAGCCCGTCTATGAGCGTGCTGTACGTCACGACGTCGGCGTCACAGCCATCGCCGGCCATCACCTCGTAGAGATCAAACGCCTCGTCCACCTTGCCGGCCTTGCAAAGCCCGTCGATGAGCGTGCTGTAGAGGATCACGTCGGGCGGGCAGCCGCGCGACTTGACGTAGAGCAGCAGGCGGCACGCCTCGTCCAAGCGGTTGGAGCGGCACAGCCCGTAGATGACGCTGCTGTACGTGACCACGTCGGGCTTGATACCGCCGGATACCGCGCGGCGCAGCAGCGCGATGCTCTCGTCCACCTGGTCCGCCTTGCACAGCCCGTTGATGAGCATGTTGTAGATCATGAGGTCCGGCGTACCGCCCTTGTCGATCATGTCGGCCAGCATCGCGCACGCGTCCTTGACTCGCCCCACCTTGCACAGCCCATCGATGAGTGTACCGTACGTCACGACGTTGGGCGTACAGCCGCGGCAAGTCATGTCGCGCATGAGCGCCAGCGCGTCGCTCACTCGCCTCGCGCGGCACAGCCCATGCAGCAGCGAGTTGTAAGTCACCAGGTTGGGGACGCATCCAGCGTCGAGCATCTCGCGAAGAACTTCCCAGGCCGCCGCCACCTTGCTCTCCTTGCAAAGCCCATCCACCAGGATCGTGTAGGTGATCACGTCCGGCGAGCAGCCGCGAGCTTTCATGGATTCCAGGAGCTCCACCGCCTGGCTCACCCGGTTGGCCTTGCACAGCCCATCGATGAGCACGCTGTAAGTGATCACGTTTGGCGAGCAGCGATCGTCCATCTTGCGGAAGAACTCCAGCGCGGTCTCGATCTTCCCGGCGCGGCACAGCCCAGTGACGAGGATGTTGAAGGAGATCACGTCGTGGGAGCGGCGATCCAGCATCTCCTGGAAGAGCGCCATGGCGCGCTCGAGCTTGCCAGTCCGGAAGAGCCCATCTAGCAGCGTGTTGTAAGTCACCATCGATGGCGAGCACTCCACGCTCTTCATATGCTCGAAGAGCTCCTGCGCGCGATCGGGCTCGTTGTTCTTGCACAGCCCATCGATGAGCGAGTTGTAAGTCACCACGTTTGGCTCGCATCCATGGTCCCGCATCTCGTGTAGGATGGCCAGCGCTTGATCCAGCCGCTTCTCCTTCCACAGCCCCGAGAGGAGCGCGGTGTAGATCACCGTGTCCGCCACGATCCCGGAGCCTTGCATCGCGCGGAAGCACCGCAGCGCGTCGATCGACCGCTTGGCCTTGCACAGCCCGTCGATCAAGATGCTACACAGGAACACGTTGGGCACCAGGTTCTTGGATCGCATCTCGTCGAAGCATCGCTGGGCTTGATCGATCTCTCCGCCACGGCAGAACCCCCGGAGGAGCGCCGCGTAGGTGTAGACATCGGGCTGGCAGATTGGGAGCATCTCCTCCGTGAAGATCCGATAGGCCTGGCGATGCCTGCCCGATTTCACCAGCGCCTCGAGCAAGCAATTGTAGCAGAAGGTCGCGGGATGGATGTGATTCGAGGCCCAGTAGAAGAAGATGAGCGCGGCATCGGCATCCTTGAGATTGAGGAGGACTCGTCCCACGGATGTCACGGACAGGCGGCGAGACCTTCGCGAGGAGGAGGAAGAACTCGGCGAGCACACCACTAACCTGGTTAGGGTTTCTTGCGTCTCTTGCGCGCTCCTCGTTCGATGCCCCGACAGCGCCTCCAGGAAGCTCTTCTCCAGCTCGCGATCGCCTTTCCGCGATTCATTCTCCAAATGCTGCTGCTGCTCACCGCGATCGTGCTGCTGGAGCTGCGAGAGGAGCGACTGGGAATGCGGCGGCGGCGGCGGCGGCGGCAGTGGAGTCGCATTTCCCGGATTGCTGGAGCCGATTCCGCGGGGAATCTGGTGATGGCGCGGCGGGAGCGGCCCTAACGCCGCGGCCACGGCCGCCATAGCCGCCAAGAACAACAAGGATCTTATCCACACGACGCCACGTGGCGGCCGACGGGGCGGGAAGGCCACGCAAGCATGCCCTAGCGAATATTCTCCAGAATTGAAAAGCTGACACCGCCAAAATTCAAAATTTTTCGAGTCAAGGGGGAAAAGATGCGAAGAGGAGCTTGTCTTGTGAATTGCGATTGATCGTCTTCCAGCGCTTTTCTGGCGCCAGTGGCAGAGTACCAAAAAACCCTTTTGTTGGTAGCAGCAGCGGCAGTGGCGCAGTGTGGCAGTGGGCGCGCGCGCTCTCCTCCGCGGAGCTCCGCCAGAGCGCAGTAGCGCCACTCCCTTGTAATTCTGTCCTCCATCACTCCTTCCACTCATATCGATCCAATCGCTTCGTAGCTAGGACCGCAGTGCAAGAGCTTTTCTATAAATCCAAGAACAAGCACGCATTTTTGTTGATCTCTACCAAGAAAAAGATCTCTACCAAGATAGTTTTAGATCTTTTCAGGCAGGATATTGTTATATACCATTATAATCTTTGGAGTCTCAATCCTGTGCTTCTAGCTGGGTGCTAAAACGTAATAACAGTCTTAAATGCTCTACTATAATGTCCAATGTCTATGTCTATTTCGTTAAAATCATAATATTGTGGCCAGGAAATAAAAAGCATAAATATGAAATTGACTCACTAACCACTTTTTCATGATTTAAACATTGCCTCGATTCATCACCCCCTGGCTAGAATTCCTTAAACAACTGCTTAGTGCCAAGCATCTTGGATTCATTGTCTCCTCGAGTATATTACATGCTGTTGACTTGTGGCGTTTGTTTATTCGCCACTCGGCATGATGTCACTCAGCTTGATTGATTGATGCCAACTTTTGCCAAGCAAATCAAATATTCCTCCACATCTAGCTGCATAAGTAGCGTAGAATATAGAGAGCCACGAACCCAACCATGGAAGCTGGAACCATTCTCTCGCTCGCCCAGCGATGGAAGCGGTGTTGGGAATCCACTGGGAAAGAATTTCCACCCTCCGGCTCGAGGAACAAAACAACTGTTTCGAGTTTCTCCGCCCGCTTAGACAAATCCGAGGTTTTAAACCTTTCCTTCGATCAAAGCGACCTCAACTCCGAGAGAAGTTTTGCGACAAGCACCAGCACGGGCGTTGAAATTCCGGGAGCTTATACGCGTACGGGCGGTGTACGGCGTGCTTGGGGCCAAACGAGCAAATCTTTGTCTATTCTCGAGCGCAGCGAGGTAGAAAAAGGATCACGAGCGATTAAGTCGTATTCAACCAAAAGCTTGCGGGCAAACTAATTGATCCCCGCGATACCTATAACCACTGGCATTCCACCACCCACGATCGATCATAGATCCAGCCCCTTGCACCCAATTCTTTTATCTTTCTTTTCTCTTGATTCGATTGATCGCTAGTGCCCAAGTAAAGTAGTGGCGAATGATGCCGGGAAGTTGTTGCCCGGGCATTTTCTCCCCTAACTTTTTTTTACCATCCAAAACCCTACATACAAGAATTTGATGGAATGTATGAATCAAGGCTCCCTCCACCGACAAATCAGCGCTAGCGGGCATCGTTTTGGATGAATTCCCCCAAATTATTTCTATCCCCCCACCCGACCCGTTTTGTTCCTGTTTTTTTTTTGGCCGTGTCGTTGCCATTGGTGGGTTCGAATCCAATCAAACGAATATAATCGGCCAATGGCTAAGCAACAAAGGCCCGGTAGTTTAAATAGAAAGCCAGCCAAGCCCGCCAGCTACAAAGGGATCACGACACGATACCATGGTCACCGATCGATCGCATCGCAGCCGTCCAGCGCTTAACCCCTGGCCATACACATAGGACAAACCATTACAGGTCAACCTTTGGCAACTGTAATTCGGGTAAAAGTAAAAGGTTAAAGGCACCTACTAGAAGAAGAAGCGAAGGTAAGCTAGCTTCTTTTATTTCATCGGGCGAGCGAGCGAGCGCGCGCGCGCGCGCCGCCGCAGTAAATGTGACGGGTAAATCCGTGTCTTTCACGTCTTTCTTTCACCCGGGCGTGAGTGACGCAGTGGTGACGCGCGTCCACGTGGGAGATCCTACGCCTTGGATGCGACCGGATCGTGGCCGTTGGTGTCCTTGAAACGGTAAATCATTGGCCGGTAATAGCCGAGCGGGAGAGCGTCTATTAATCCGGGATTGGCCGCGTTGCTTTTTGGTCGGGCTGGGCGCGAATGGCATCGCGCCACGTGGCGCACGGGATGGATTTCTGTGCTAAATAGCCATTAGTCTTTTGATCATCGCGCGATCGATCGAGCGGGCGAGCGATCGAGGCGGCGATCGATTGATCTTCTCCCAGATGCTCTCTACAAAAGGCATCGGTTAGCAGGATTCATCAATCCCAATCGCGCTGCAGAGAAACATTTCGTGCTCGATCGAGGCAAGCTTTTGGTTTTTTGTCCGGGGCTAAAAAGCAGGGGAAGAGAGGGAGGAGGGAGAGAAAGAGAGAAGCATTAAAGAAATCGCGAGGAGGAGAGAGTAGCGTCGCGTCGGGTTGGGAGGTCACAGGCAGGCCAGCCTTGGGTCCCTCCAAAAAACACGAAGAACGACGGGACGACGGGCGATCCGCCCACCCAACCCAACCATTCCTCCTCTCTTCCCGATTCATCTACATGTTATCATCTACAGTCGCTAGAGGTGCGAGAGAGAGAGAGAGAGAGAGATCTTCACTCCTCCTACGCTTGATCTAGCGCTCTCTCTCTCTCGCCAATTCTAGCGCTTCCTCCCGGGTCGCGGGATCGCTGTCACAGGGGCCGATCATCCATCCATCGGTCGATCGATTGCAGGCGGCAAAAAGGGAGAGAGAGTGGTGCTGGGCCCGATCGGCGATGACGACGACTGTTGATTGAAGTGATGGAAATGGAAGCGCTGCGACGAGGAGAGGCTATGGGCCCGGATCGTCGCGTCGTCGCCTTTGTCTCTCTTTTGTGAGAACGAGAGCCAAACAAAGCCACGACCCCTGAGATATTCACACTGCCAGTGAAGAGCTCTCTCTCTTTCTCTCTCTCTCACTCTCTTTCTCTCTCTTCCTCACTCTCTTCTTCCGGGAAGAACAGCAGCACGGAGGAGTTCTAGCCTCTATAGGAGGGAACTTTAGGCGGTTTGATTGCTTACATCAAGGAAGCTTTTGCTGGATCCATCCACCGCTCGGGCAGCCAAGTGCCATAGGGGGGAGAGTTGGATTTTCCATCGATTTAGCAAGGTGGTCCTTGACGAGAATCTAAGGTTGATGGAGGTTTGCCATGGCTGGATTTCTCCCAAACCACAATAGCGGGGGTTTAACAGTGACAGGTCGCTCGCTCTTGTCTCCTCCCCTCTCCTTGTTGGAGCGTCTTGGGCGAATTCCTTCCTCTTTCGCGCTTCTTCCAAGAACACTGGCCCGGATACATCGATTGGAGTGATGGGCACTTGAGGGGAATTGCGCTACACCAAGGGGCTCTGATGGGCAGCGGCTGGGTGGGCTGCAAATGTCGCTGCTGCCGCCGCCGCTCGCTCGGATCTAGCTCGCCAATCCGCCCGGAAACCAGGCAGCATGAGGCGCGCCGGCGGTGACGCAGGAGGAGCAGCATTGCTACACCCGGGAGGATCCGTCAAGGCCGCGCGGGAGCGGAGGAATTGGCGGGGCAATGCTCGGGGATTTGCCCTCTGCTGGCATCTGCTGAGGCGAGGCGAGCGAGCGGGGTGCGGGCGTGGCGGGGCGGCGAATTCCAGAGGCGGCGGAGGAACAGTGGAGGATTTGCTCCGATTCGTGCCTGGATGCCTGAGCGTCACCATCGTCATCGTCTCTGTAGTTCATGCGGTACAGAGTTGGATCGCGTTCGTAGTTGTAGAGAAAGAGGACGAACAGGAAGAGGAGGAACAGGAGGAGAGTGGTGGTGGTGGTGGTCGAGCTAGTCGCAAGAATTTAGGGGCTCCTCGGCAGCGTATGGATCCTGCCAGCCATGGCAAATCCGACTCCCAAAGCTCGGAGAGTGGATTGTCCTCCCAGCAGCAGCAGCAGCAACAGCAACAGCAGCAGCAGCAGCAGCAGCAATTCTACCAGCAGCAGCAGCATCAACAGCAACGCTATAGATTGCAAGCTCAAGCCGCCGCCGCCGCCGCTGCCGCTGCGCAAGGCGGAGCTATCGCTCAGGCAATGGCGGCAATGGGAGGCTCCCAGCACGAATCTCCAATGGGGCCATCGGCGGAGCAGCCGGGAGGAGGAGGAGCAGGAGCCGCGGCGTCGGCTATAGCGGTTGGGAAGGCCGGCGGCGGGGGAGAAGCTCAAGAACAAGCGGCGGCGGCGGCGGCAGCGCCGCCCACGACGCCGCCATCCAAGCGCGCTAGCACCAAGGACCGGCACACCAAGGTGGAGGGGCGGGGGCGGAGGATCCGGATGCCGGCGGTGTGCGCGGCGCGAATATTCCAGCTCACGCGCGAGCTGGGCAACAAGTCCGACGGCGAGACGATCGAGTGGCTCCTCCAGCAGGCGGAGCCGGCCATCATCGCCGCCACGGGCACGGGCACCATCCCCGCCATCGCCGCCACGCTCCAGGGCTCGCTCCGGAGCTCCGGCTCCGGGAGATCCGCCAGCCTCCACACCTCCATCGGCCTGGCGGCGCTAGGGCAGCAGCAGCGGGAGGCGGCGGAGCTCGCGGCGGCGGCGGGGCACCAGCACCGGCTAGAGCAGCTCCGCCAGCAAAGCGCCGCCGCCGCCGCCGCCGCTAGGGCCGCCGCGGCACAGGGGTGGGCGACCGAGAGTAGCGAGGAGACGAGGCTGCGATCCGGGCTGTTAGGGCAGCCGGGGGAGGAGCTGGTCGTGGGCTTCCAGCACGAGGGGCTACTGGGCAGCGCTGGGGACGTGGACGAGGGCGGTAGCGGCGGTGGTGGCGGTGGCGATGGCGGCGGCGGTAGCGGCAGCCCCGAGAGCAGCGGCCACTACCGCAAACGTCCCCGGGGATTGCTGAGCAGCCTGAGGGATCCCCCGGATCCCCAGGGAATCACGCTCGGCCGGAGCCCCAGCGCCGCTGGGCGATCCACCCAGCAGCAGCAGCACCAGACAATGCAGCAGGGATTGATGGTGCCCAGCGCGTTTTGGATGCTGCCCACTGGCGGCGGCGGCGGCGGCGGCGGCGTGGCGGAGCAGGCAATCTGGACGTTTAATACCGCCGGCGGTGGGGCCGGCGGCGGCGGCGCGTCGCAGCTGTACCGCACGGCACAGCAAGTGACACAGGGCAGCCCGATGATGCCGCTAACGGGGTCCGTGCTGCCCGGCGGCGTGACGATCATGCCGCCGCGGATACTGCCGGGCCTCGACTTACAGCCGGGCGGTACCGGCGGCGGCGGCGGCGGCCACCACTTGGGACAACTCACGTCGATGCTCCTTGGCCAGCAGCCGCCGGAGAGCAGCCATCTGGGGATGCTGGCGGCGTTCCAGGGCGGCCCCTACGGTACGCGAGGCGGGCATCACGATCCGCAAGAACAGCAGCAGCAAATGCAGCAGCACCAACAGCAGCAGCAGCAGCAATCGCAGCAGCAGCAGCAGCAGCAACAGCCAGATAGTAGCCGAGATGACTCTCGATCGTCTAGGTAGTAGCAGGCCACACTCGAGGGATTCTTTCGTTCTTCTTTCTTCCGGGAGTTTTGCGAGAGTTCTGTCCTATACGCCATTGGGTGAGATCCCCGTCCAAATTCCAGCGCCAAGCCAAGGAAAAGAGTGGTTTTTCCTGATGGATTGAGTGGGAGCAGTGGCATAGCATCGATTGGATCGAGAGCCGAGAGCAGGTGGTGACAATTTCTAGATCTGGAGGGGGGAGACAATGCTGCTTCGCTGCCAAAGTTCTCTCACCCGCAAAAAGGCTCTTCGGTGGTTGGAGCAGCGTTTTCGAGCGATTCTTCCTTCCCACCGATCGATAACCAGGTTGGATCACCGATCGTCATCATCAGCCAGCAAGCAGTAGCAAGGGAAGACAAAGCGATTTTGGTTTCGTGGCAACCAACCGCTGTGGCGTCCACATCAAGAGGTGCGAGCCCGAAACAAAAGTTAGATCTGCTGCTCTTGCTGCTGCTGCCACTGCCACTGCTGCTACTGCCACTGCATTCATCATCACTCCTCCTCCCCTTTCGTTTTCCATCCATCACTCCCTCACACCACACTTTTTTCTTTTCTTTCTCTCTTCTCCTTTCCACCACTTTGTTTATCTATCTTCTTCCTGGCTTTCTCTTCTCATGATCAATCTTCTCTCTCGTTTAGTGTTGGATTGGAAGGAGAGATTTGCTGCTGCTTCCACTACACTCTTCTCTCATCACCACCATGATCGAGCATCATCGGGCATTATCATCTCTTTTCATCTCTTGGCAGAAAAAATACGTTTTTTTTTCCCTTCTCTATAGTCACCGACACCCATCAAAAGTTGCAAATATTCGTTCATTTTGGCCCCCTTTGTTGACACTCTTGCTGCTGTGCACCACCATCCGCGATCTCGATTCGTATACATGCCGCGTTGTGCGATCATGGAGGAGAGATTCTCTCTTCTCCGCTTTGTCGCGGGTGGTGGAGCGTAGAACGTAGTAGTGACAATCGGGTTTGTTGTAATAAGAGTTTCCAGCCAGCCGCGCCTGGATTGAATCAAAAGAGCATTCGGTGTTTTCACGCTGGTCGAAAACTTCCAAGAGTTTGCAAATGATCGCTCGTGAGAAGCGTCAAAAGTAGAAAAAGTAAGAGCTTCCTGGCTGATCCTGGTCTTGTTTGAAGTTACTTCGAGGCCATCACTTGGCGTAGCTTGGCTTGCAAAACCATATTGACTTGCTCGGCCACATTCCTCTTCTCGGAAGCTACCTGTTCGAGTTCCAGAAGAACAAAATCTCGCATCGGACACGAAGAAAGAACAAAAGAGAAACAAGGAAAAAGCTTACCTCCATCAGCTTCTCGTGGTTGGCTTTTAAGAAGTTGATTTTGCGGTCGCAGTAATCCTTCCCATCGGTGACAGATTTCTAGACACGACAGGAGAACTTGCGATGATCTCTCGTGGAAAGAAAAAACGAGGCTAGAAACTCTAGAAAGAAGAGAGAAAAACTTCCATACCTCAATGTAGTAGCCTGTTCCAACGTCTATAAGAACTTTCTCAACGTCTTGAAGCGTTCCAGGAACGTAGAGCGATGCCGTGAGTGGAACCAGGAGCTTCTTGCCTGAATTGATCGAAAAGAGAGAGAGTTAGAGCATTTTCATCGCGCTCCTAGCTACATTTCCCACCATTGGGATGCTGCGAGAGATTTTGGAGCGCCTTGGCAGCCATCTCGAATCGATTCGCTGCAGTTCTTATGTTGTTGACGCTGTCTTGGAGCACGCTGAGCTCGCCATCCACTTGATCCTTGACCTGCCGGATCTGATCCACGCTCAGCTTGCTCACCTCTTCCATCACGCCCGCGGCCGACGCGCCCGCCATAGCTCCCCAAGAAATATTAGGGTTCTTAGCTCTCCTCTCTACACCCTAGGCCAAAATATTTTGCCGATGATTCTTCTAGGACTCGAGCGATCGTCGTGGATCGTGGCGCGATCGATAGGCGCCGCGCCGCCACACCAGCTCCAGAGGAAGCATCGACCAGTGAGAAATGCGGCCCAGGATTCTTCTCAGGTTTTTTGCTGCTGTTTCATCTAGTCGATGCGATTTCCTTGTTTGCGTGCTCTAGGCTGGAGCGCCGCCAAGAATCTTCCCACTGCCGGATACTCTGGAGGAGAGCATTGATCAGGTAGGTGTTGCTGTTCTTGGGAAGAATGGAGAGGAATTCCTCACATTCCAGGCAAGAATCGCGTGCAAGCAAGCGATGAGAGATGGTTCCAAGCGTCTCCAACTTGAAATGCCGCTTCCATTGATCGGAGCTACCGACCTCGACGATTGGCCCGTAAGTTCTCTCGTTTGTTCTTTCGTTGCTCATGCTGTGGACTAGTGTGCTGTGCTTTGCTAGGGAGGAATCCAGCAGCGATTCAAGGCTGCGGCACCGATGGTCTCGTCTCTTCTCTCGAGGATCACTCCTGTTGAGAATGAAAGTTCTAGCGGTGGCGAGCTCAAAAAATACCTCATCGACGAAGGAGATGCCGTGGGTGCTTGGGAGAAAAAAAATGTAAGAGTTCTAGAGCGTTAAGTTTTGGTCTGATCGGATCGATTCCATTGTCATCCAGGTGGCTTTGGTACTGTTTCCAACAGCGGAGACGCTGGATGTTATCCAGGAAATGGCAAGCAGGAATATCGATCGGCCTCTTATACTTATGAATGCCGAGTGGCGAGACGGGCAAGTAAGCTAGCTGTTTGAAAGCTTTTCGAGCTCTTGTTGATCTTTTTTCACACAGGTGATCTCCGACTTTGGGTTTGGAGGACAGAAGAAACTGAAAGAGGACTTCGTCAAGAGCTTTTCTATGGTTTATTACTTGCAGCAGCTCCGAATCTTAGGAGACAACGTGAAGATTTTTAAAAGACATCCAGGAAGCTGGCAGGTTGTACGTCGTTCTCCGTTTCCTTTCTCCATGTTTTTTTCCTTGTGTTGACGAGTGCTATGAATGACATCCAGGTCTTCCTCACGGATGGCTCTGGCGAAAGCGAGTGCATCGCTGTCGAGCCTGAGAAGCCTTCTTACGAGAAACTCCGGCTTATTCTTAAGCAAGCCAAAGGGTCTTCCTCGAGCAACGCTAACTGGGTGACGAGGATGTTCCAGGAGTTGAAGTTCAATGCCGATTCCTTGAAAAATCGGTAAATTATCTCAGGTTCCTAGTCCAGTTTGTTTATTATTCTACGTGGCGCACTGAACTGAATGCTTCCCTTGGAAGCCACTTTTCTGCAAGGACGCATGGATGCTCTCCATATAGGCGCACAGAGAGTCATGTGAACGCGCGCAGAAGAGGTGGGTGCCTTTGACGTAGACCGCTCGCTTGTCCGATTTAAGACGCCTTACAAATTCCCTGACTCTGGAAATTTTGCACCATGGACAGGCTCAATGGAGTCGTCAACGACTGAAACTCTTCCTTCCTTCATTGTTCTCCGAAGACGACAACGCAACAAGGCACCTACTTAGCGTGGCCGTAAGTATATCAGACAAGGTAGCATGTTTTTTTTTTTTATGCACGGTTGGTGATCCATCGCCCGGATTTCTGACAGATGCGTTGGATGCAGGCTCGCTGTCCCTCTCGCGTTCAGGCTTCCAAACGCTCCTCCCTGAAGCGTTTCTAAGCGCATGAAGAGGAACAAGCGTAACAAGCGTAACAGCAGTTTGCAGCCCACCGGGATGATTTCGAGACGGAGCCCCTCGCTCCGGCTGCAGCGGTGGTGGCAGCTACTGCTGTTGTGCATGGTGTGGTGCAACTCAAGGCACTCGGAGGCTGCAGGGATTGGTGTGAATTGGGGGACAATGGCATCTCACAGGCTTCCCAACAAAACCGTTGTCCAGATGCTTCGAGCGAATGGGATCTCCAAGGTGAAGCTGTTTGATGCAGATCCTGGAGTGATGGAGTCGCTTCGGGGAACAGATATGGAGCTGATGATAGCAATTCCAAACGAGATGCTGGAGCTGGTTGCTACACTTCCTGCAGCGGCTCGGAACTGGGTGCGTAAAAATGTCACTCGATACAGGACAGCGAAGAATGGGGTCAAGATAAAGTAAGTGTTTCGTCATTGTTTTGTCGTGAGACACAGATCATGTTTATATTACTATAGCTACTTGCAGATACGTGGCCGTAGGAAACGAACCATTTCTCAAGGCGTACAATGGAAGCTATGACAACTTGGCGTACCCGGCACTGAAAAACGTCCAGGATGCCCTGGTAAGTGCAGGACTGGGTGAGAGCATCAAGGCCACTATACCGTTGAACGGGGACGTTCTTAGCAATGGCGACTCGACATTACCTTCAGGAGGGATTTTCCGTCCAGACATAGCACCACAGGTCCTCAAAGTTGTGGAAGCCTTGGGCGAGCACAACGCGCCCTTCGTTATCAACGTCTATCCGTTCCTCAGCCTCCAGCAAGACCCACACTTTCCAAGGGACTTCGCTTTCTTCGACGGCACTGACTTCCCGCTAGTGGATGGCAACCTCAGCTACACCAACGTTTTCGACGCGAGCTATGATCTGCTGGTGGCAGCTCTCACGAAAGCCGGCTATTCCAACATGACGATCATCATCGGAGAGATCGGGTGGCCGACCGACGGGGACATAAACGCCAACGTCGCCAACGCTGTCAGATTCAACCAGGCTTTCATCCGTCACGTCCTACAGTCCGGCACGCCGCTGAGGAGGCCTCCGCTCGAGGCCTACCTCTTCAGCCTTCTCGACGAGGATCAAAAGACCATCTTGCCAGGAAACTTTGAGAGGCACTGGGGGATCTTCGGCTACGATGGCAAGGCCAAGTACAGGCTAGATCTTCAAGGCAGTGGAAACGTGACGGCCAACTTGGTGAACGCGAGCAGTGTCAAGTATCTTCCCCGGCAGTGGTGCGTGCTGGATCCGAGCGGTGATATCGCCAGACTGGGGAACAACATGGACTATGCGTGCTCTCACTCGGATTGCACGTCGATCGTCCCCGGCAGCTCGTGTGATGGGATGGGTAGTGACGCGAAAGCTTCGTATGCTTTCAACAGTTACTATCAGCTCTACGATCAACTCAACACGAGCTGCTACTTCGATGGCTTGGCGACGATCACCAAGACCAGCCCCTCGTCCGGGACGTGCCAGTTTAAGATCCAGATCGCCACCACAAATTCATCGTCGACCTCGCCTCGCTCGCCTGGTTCTAGCGGTGGTGATAGCAACAGCAACAGCACCAGCAGTGAGAGCTCCGGTGGATCACGAAGAAATGGTTGCTACTCGATCAGAGATTTGCTGGTTGCGGCGAGCGCGATTCTCATCGCCCTCTGGAAGCTGGAAAGATTTTGATGTTTGAGCGATCGCGAGAGGAGAGGGGATGGAAGTGATCGATTTTCAAGGAAGCGATGTAAGTATTTGCGAGGAAAAGAGAGGAAAGATTAAAGCTACTGCTGTGATCCAGCTCTGGCTCCTCCTGGTGGCGGCCGACTGGATTCCAATCCGGAAGACGCAAGATCCCAGCGATGGATCCACTTTGGTGATTGTCCCCAATCCATCGAAGTGGCAGGAGTGGCGCTCCTGCTGATTGATCTGGAAGTAGCTATTGAAAGCGAAGGAAGCGTTCCCATCGCCGCCAATCTCGTTGCACGATCCCCCATACATGAGCGGCGTGCAATCGGCGAAGCTGCAAGCGTACTCCATGTTCTGGCCGACGAGCGTGACATCGGCGTCGGGATTGAGCACGCACCACTTGCTGGGGAGGCGACGAACCCTAACCCCGTCCATCGCCATAGCCGGGCGGGAAGAATTCAAATTTGAATTTGAATTTGAATTTGTCCCGCCCAAAACTGTTAGGTTGAGCGTGTACTTTGCCGCCCCGTCGGATGCGAGGATTCCCCAGTGGCGCTCGAAGTTTCCAGCCGCGATAGGTTTCTGGTCCTCGTCGAGCAGCGCGAAGAGGAAAATCTCCATCGGCCCCGCGCGCATCGGCGTCCCGGCGCCGTCCAGGATGTGATCCACGAGCCGCTGGTTGAATCGCTGAGCGTTTGTAGCGGTGGCGTCGGGATGCCCCTCGGTCGGCCAGCCGATCTCTCCCACCACGATCGCCATGTCCGGGAAGCCGATCCTCGCGAGCGCCGCGGCTAGGGTATCGTAGGCGGCGGCGAAGGCGTTGGAGTAGGATCGATCGCCATCGACGAGCGGCGGGGCGGCGCCGTCCAAGAAGGCGAATTCCTTGGGGAAGAATGGATCCTGCGCCAGGCTGAGGAAGGGGTAGATGTTGATCGTGAAGGGCGACGCGTGATCGGCGAGCGCGGCGGCGATGCGGCTCATCTCGGCGGCCACATCGGTACGGAATGCGCCCCCAGATGGGATCATGGGTACGGTCTCCGCCAGCACGTCGGCGTTCATGGGGATGGTTGCCTTGACGGCGCGGGTGCCTTCGTCGCCGCCGCGTAGCGCGTTCTGGATGTTGATCAGCGCTGGGTACGTGTAGGATTGATAGCTCCCATTGTAGCTCTTGAGGAAGGGCTCGTTGCCGATCGCTACATACCTGGATGGACAGAGTTTTGGACGATCAATCGAGGTAGTAATCGATCAAAGCTACCACTCATCGACTTTGATCTATGTTCCAGATGCTGGAAAAGCTGGTAACAATCGATCAGACAAAACCACTCATGGACTTTCCAGATGCTAGAAACGCTAAAGTTACCCCTCATCGACTTTCATCTATGTTCCAGATGCTAGAAAAGCTGGGAGCAATCGATCAAGCAGCCAAACAGCCATGATCCATCCAGGCAAGCTTTTGTTTTTCTAGCTTTCTCTATGATCGATCGAGAGAGAGTTTTTACTTGATATTGACGTTCTCTCGGATGTAGCGCGTCACGTTCCTACGAACCCAATTGCGAGCCGCCGCCGGGAGCGATCCCACCAGCCGCAGCATCTCGTTTGGCAGCGCCACCGTGAGCTCGATCTTGCTGTTCCTGAAAGCGCCCACGACCGCTGGATCCGCGTCAAAGAGCTTCACTCTTCCAATCCCGTTGGCCTCGAGCATCTCCACCACCGCTCTGGGATCCAGCTTCACGGACTCAAACGTCCCCCAGTTCACTCCGATCGCGGGAGACGAGGAGGCCACCACAATGATCCAGTAGCAGCAAACGATCGTTCCCGCGAGCTTTGCCATCCGATGATCGGTTGCTCTTCCCTAGTGGAATGATCTGGTATCATCCGACAAGGAATCGCGAGCACCAACTTTCTCTGCGTCCTCCAACACCATCTCTGTGGCCGCATCCTTTTATGCAAAAGAAGAGCGTAATGCTCGTCCGCTTTCTTCTCGTGCGATGCGTTCCAACTCAGCCTAGCACTAAAGAGCATCGAAGTACCTTCCTAGATTTGGACAGTCATCGCAATCACTTGCACAGCTTTTATAAATGTGTGCGAAGAAACGAAGAAACTGAAAAGTACCTCTTAGAGAATCCGTCGCTGTTTGAGATAATTGTACATCATCAAGAACAGCATGATGCCCCCGACGATTATTCCCCCCGTGGTGAGCCAAAACGCGTACTGCAATCACGAAGGCTTGGAGCGTTAGCATTGCTGTGAGATGCACGAAAGGAAAACCGTTCTTACGGTGCGTTCTTCCAAATAGGATCTCAAGTTCATCCCGAAGAGCCCTGCGCGTGTGTTTCGCAATTAGAGTTTGCAGGGAGAACAACTATAATCCAGAGACTCTACCCGCGATGAGAGCACCCAGGGCCGAGCAGAATGTTGCTACCTGGAGCAAAAGTTCCAGGCGACCAACTTCAAGCCGTCTAGAGCTGAAAGTGTACAAAGGAAACGATCAGGTCATGGTTTACTCCGATTTTGGGATCCATACCTCAAGTTTACAGCAATGGAGTCCTCCATCTCTCTAGCGGAATCAAGGAGCTTTTGCGCTTGGCCGTGACATGACTCGCTTCTATCATATAGAATCGAGTGGAAAATCCATACTTGTTCAAACTTAATCGCACGTACCGTTGCAGGTAGTTTTCTATAAGCATTTCGATCTCCTCTTCCTCGTCTGGAAAAATCGATCGATGAGAAAAAGCGCAAATCATATCTACAATACCTTCGGCGATTTGCTTATCAGCTGATACGACGCATTCGAATGACCCGTTATTGCCCAGCCTGCAATTGCGCCCGAGGATCGCCATCCTACGAATGTCCTGTGGAGTTTCAAGCAAGTCGAGAAGCATTTGTCTCAGAGCGTCTGACTTCGCTATGAGTTCCACCTGAAATGTTCGAAGGTCACGAATCATACGTACAAGAAAGTTCGTTTACCAGTGATTGCTTGCTAACTCGAAGGTCCTCCAGAACATCCCCTGTGAGTTTATTTGGCAATATTTCCAGCAACGCCAACACCTGTTCATTTAATCGTTACACAAGGCCAGCGTTTAGTGATCGATGATTCTTACTTTAGGTTCAACCTTCATCAAGGTTTGTTCCAGCCTCTGCGTTCTGGAAATCAATGCTGCTTCGATTACCTAGCTAACCAATTCAGCTTAAGAGTCTGTGATATTTCTTAAGAGGTTGCCTACCTCCAGCTCAAAGGGCATTGACACGCTTCCAGAATTTTCTACGTTAAGTCGCTGAACGATGGTCTCCAAGAACAGCTGTGCACCAATGCTGCAGCAGTGTGAGCAAATCACCACAAGCAAGACGATCACTTTCTTTCTTACTTCTTGTGGTCGAAGAGAAGAACACTTTCGGGAGTAGCAATTGCTCTCAAGCTACCGAGGTTCAACAATATCGCATTGTCTCGTACCTGATCCAGTTCTAGCAAAACAAGCATGATAGAAATCCTCCAAGAGAAACACGAGGATTACCAGCAAGGATGGCATCGAGTTTGTGACCCATAGCGACGGGTCTACGCTCCTTATATCACGTAGCCTCAAACCTGACCAAGGAAACATAGAAACATCACCAATCCAGCAAGAAGGAAACCAAGCTCACTACCTCTTACCGCTGGTCTTTAGCAATTGTCGCCGGCTAACTTCTTTCTTGATCACATTCCCTCTGGGATCCACTTGTAGAACCTGGAAAGCAATAGTTAGCTGAGAATATAAGCCGAGAGAGATTTTCACCTCGTAAACCGGCTCCTTCACTCCAATCGAGGAGCTAACTGGTGAGTCCTCGGCGCTGCGATCGTCGATGAGATTATCCGCCGCTGCGGATGATCCAGAAGCCTTGAACCTCCGCGCAGATGAAATTTTCTGGATTCCTGGACTACTGCCATAACTAAATCCACCGAGTAGCAATAGCTTGCTGTGAAGATCAATGCTTCTCACGCCATGCCCTACCAACGAGCTGCTAAGAAGGGGATCCATGACGATGGCGCGGGAGCATAGCTCCCAGCTAGAACGATGGAAATAAAATGACCTAAAACCAATGCTTTCAAACTTGTGGGCAAGAAAATGCCAGGTCAGCAAAGATACGTGGCGGGAATGAATGGCCAATGAGCTTTGCGATGGCGGGCGGCCATAATCTAGGGCAACAACAATGAAGCAGCTCAGCGCTTGCGCGGCGGCATCGGATCGCGCGGCCTCGATCGCTCTCTTGGATTGCGGTGGATTGATCCAGACGAAGAAATTTGGTATTCGAGCGGCAGTAGCCTTCTCGTCGTCGTGCCAGCCGCCGATCAGGTGCTGCTTCGTCCAAGTAAGGGCCTCCGCCGCGAGCAGAGATTCGTCGGAGAGCGATGATGAAGAAGAGAGCGAGGATCTGAAGTGGAATCCAGCAGATGTGAGTAGGCAATGCGATCGATCGCAGTCTTCTCTCGGTAATATTTCTTGTTCTTGTGACTCGCGCTGTGTAGGCAGATGCCGAGAGATTCCGGGAGGACCTGGAAAAGAGCGTGGACAAGAACGAGATGAGCTTCAGCGGGATTGATCTGGCGGGCCTGATTCGAAAGAAGTATGGAAGATCTTACGACGTTCAGCTCATCAAGAAGGTAAGACTCGAAGAACTTCTTCCAGCAAAGGACAGTGTTTTCGATGCTTGCTCACGATCCATCCATCCACAGGAATTCTTGGGGAAGCAATACTTGGCCATGAATGTCATGTGGAAATATCGAGAACAGGTACTTTGGAGCTAGATTCTTGCTTAAACTCGAGCTTCTATGGCTATGTTTTCTTCCAGAGATCGTTTCCACTGAGTGAGGAAGAGTATCTCCTACACTTGGACGATGTGGCCAACGCTCTCAAGTGCTGGGGAGCCGTATCGGTGATTCGCTCCAGCCTCGAGAAGACAAAAGAGAGGCCACGCATTGGCAAGGCCGTGAGCCTCTTCATCGACATGGACGAGTCGGGTGGTCGTGCCAACGAATGGATCAACCGGTAACTAAAGCTCTCGAAAAAGTCTTTCATCTCTCGGATGGATCCACTGATTGATTTTGGTCGATCTCTTCTTACAACGGTTGATGAATCGAGCTAAAGTCCACGAGTCTGGCTTGAAAGGCATGCTGAAAGCAAGCTCGCGCGCATCTCGACGAAACGCTGCCCGGTACAGCGTGTGATCGCATATACTCAAAACGGGCTTCTGTCCAAGGCCTAGGAGATCTTCACGGCGATGAAGGAGGCGAGCTTGGTTTCCTATGCTCCACGGCTACGCGCACAATGGATTCGTTCGAAACGCTACTTCGATCTTCCACTCCATGCCGGAAAAGCTGCCTGGAGTGTCATGGCTTCCGCGTTTGCTCGCCATCACCAGTTTTCCAAGAAAGCGAGCGAAGATCTGAAGACGAGAGCATCGAATTCCAGGAAGATCGATCTTGGCGGGCATGGAGTCAATAGCTTTCTCGCTTCGATAGTATGCCTGCGCTGGGCATACGCGGTAGTCATCGCGTTCCAGCACACAGATCTCTGGAGCCCCGAGCAAGTGTATGGTAGTGATCATGCTTCGGTCATGATGGAGTGAATGGCTCGCTTGACATCGCATTGCTGAAGAAGAGCTCTGCCACTTTGATCACTTGGCCTGCACCGTAATGCAATCGGCCTATGTCACATGGAATAAAAAATGCCAAGGTGTTGCATATGCTATTCCTAAATTGTGATATGATAAAAGAAAAATGAAAACATTGATTATTTAAATTAATATATAAATATTTATAATTAAATAGGAAACACAATTGTAAATAAGAAACTTTTCCACTCAAAGACAATAATTATTATTTAAACCTTATGAACCTCCTTGTCCAAACTGAATCAATAGATTAATTTTTTTTCTTCTGTTTAAACACTTTTGAAAGATTATAACATATATTTTGTTTGCCATAAAATAAACAAATACGGTGTATTATAAAATTTTTAACAAATATCATTTTTGTGATGGTTCACATATAGTTTCCAAGATTATCTTTTATCTATGATGATGATATAGTTATAGAATATAAAGTAGTAATCCCATTTTTAAACTTAAAAATTTACAAAATAATTTCTGATTGTAGTTTTGATCAAGATATTTTCATTTTTGAGATATTAAATATACCTTTTAATTTATTTTATACTAACACTTAGAATAATTTACTACCCATTACATGTAGCAATGCTTAGTTTTCTTAATAATAGTGTTATTCTTATTTATTAATTCAAATGATCAAATGTTTATAATTTGATAAACACGAAATTAATATTATTGCATGTCAACCATTGAATGGTAGAATAAAATAGAATATACTAGGAAGTGTTTGGGAAAGTTTATATATTATAAACATGTTTATAAATTATAAATACAAAACTAATATAAATGAATAACAATGGTGAAATATCCTTACACTGGGTTGCTCAAGCAGCTTTAAGAATTTACTTTATATTTTCATATGTTTAATCAGCTGTACATTTATATCACCGTATATATAGTTATTCTATAAATTATTTTATAGAGCTACTTAATAGCTTTGTTGTGTAAGTATTTGAGAATCAGATAACAACTAAGTTATCTCATTTTTATTGTTTACATTAATAAAAAATAATTTTCTTCCCTATTACTAATCATTTTCATACACCACGTGTCTTGGCTTGTAATGCTTAGCAATAGTCACAAGTTTGACTCAAGTTACCAGCTTTTACGTGGTGTCCAAATCACGAGAGCAAATGAAATCACGCATCAGTTAACTTATAACATCCCATGGCTATGCAATTGTATTCACTTTTATTGCTTTCTCTATTCCTCTCATCCTTAAACGACATTCTTGTCCTTGTGAGAGCTGCAGATCCCGATCCAATCTAGGACTTTTGCATCCCACGGAACAATATTAGTGAAGGTTTCATGAAGTGCAAGCCATACTCAGAGGTATCTTCAAAAGACTTCCACTCGAGCTTGTTTCGCACCAAGGTGAATACCTGACACAAGCCCAACCCGTTTGATTTCGCTCAAGCTATTGTCAGCACATTTCCGGGACTCAACACGATGGGATTGTCCGTGGCGCGAAACTATCTCGGCCCCAAAGGAGTTGCGAGAGCTCACGCTCATCCTCGGGCAAGCGAGCTCATCTATGTGGAGAAGGGATTTGTGGAGGCCGGCTTTGTGGACACTAACAACAGGCTCTTTGCGAGGAATTTGACCGCGAGCGATTTGTTTATAATTCCCCGTGGAGTTCTTCACTATTTGATCAACATGGGGGAAGATCACGCTATAGTTTTGGCCATTTTAAACAGCGAGAATCCTTCGTTCCAGATCCCATCCTTTTCTTTGTTTGGACCGAAGTTGAGTTACAAGGTTTTGGAAGCGACTTTCAGTCTAGACAGGAGGACCATTGATAAGTTGCATGAGATTTATAAAATGTTTGTTTAAATCTATATTTGAAAATTGGGATATTCCATGAATGTGGACGGAACCTTCCAACATGATCGCGCGCTCGCAAGAAAGTTGTGGCCTGGAACGCGTGGATGCCGAGACACGGGATTTGCCGCGGTCAAGGTGGAACAAGATGATCCAAGTTGTGGATGCCGCGGCGATACGTCAGGTCTACACCACCACCGCCGCTATTGAGGTCTTCAGGCCGACGTGATCTCCTAAGCCTTCACCATGGCGATCGGGAATCTAGATTGCGCTCCAGACTGGCATCTGTGAACATCCTCGCAGTAATCAGCGGCGACGCGAGATCCAGTTCTTCCACTCTCAGTGCACAGCTGCGAGCGGAGTAAAAATCCTTCCATACAACAGAGACTGCAGCACAAAAACCCAGAGCTCTCATATAAGACCAGAGTTTCTGATCATATGTCATTTGAAACTCTTTGATCACTCTCTCCTAAATTCCTGGACGTGATGACAAGAATGTAATCTCTTGAGATTAGAGAGGTCTCGATTTTGCCACAATTCTAAACAACATATGAATTAACTCCCAAGGAATCTTGACAAGTTTTGAGATTCTATGATTTAAATTTGAAGTTTGATCTAGTGTCTAGAAGCATTCAAGCCCTGAACAATTACATATTTTCTTCTAGAGATCGTTTCCACTGAGTGAGGAAGAATATCTCCTACACTTGGACGATGTGGCCAACGCTCTCCAGTGCTGGGGAGCCACGGTGATTCGCTCCAGCCTCGAGAAGACAGAAGAGGGGCCACGCATTGGCAAAGCCGTGGATGAGTCGGGTGGCCGTGCCAATGAATGGATCAACCGGTAACTAAAAGCTCTTCGATAAACTCTTAGATCAATCCACTCGATGTCTTACAACAGTTGATGAATCGAGCTCAGGTCCACCGAGTCTGGCTTGAAAGGCATGCTGAAAACAAGCTCGCTCGCGTCTCGGCGAAACGCTGCCCGACATAGTGTGTCAATGACGCAGCTATGGAGTTTCTTACTGGGCACAACGAAGAAATCCGAGCTTAGGCAGCTAAAGCATCGACGAGCAGCATCAACGTGGCCAGATCGACTGCAAGACAGCAAGATCGAGACGAAAGAGCTCTCATCTGGACGTAACCCATCGCAACTCATCGAGCTCAAGATCTGGAACGCTCTTTGCGAGCAAAGGCTAGCGCTCTGGGATTGAGCGCAACAGGCCAGGAGAGAGTTCCACACTGAGACGTCAGCCAAAACTAAGAATTCGCTCGTCTTTCTCGAAAGGTGGCGATGGCATTCTTTGCGAGCAAACGTAGAAGCCATGACACTCCACGCAACGAAGTTTCTCTCTGGCATGGAGTGAAAGATCGAGGCAGCGTTTCGAACGAATCCATTGCGCGCGTATCCGTCGAGCATAGCGGTCCAGGAAACCAAGCTCGCCTCCTCCATCGCCGCGAAGATCTCCTCGGCCTTGGACAGATGCCCGTTTTGGGCATACGCTGCGATCATCGCTGTGCAGGCGATGAGATTCCACTCGGCCATGGCATGAAAGAAGAAATCCTCGGCGCTCGCCAGATCTGAAGCTTGGATGTAAGCCGAGAGCATCGAATTCCAGGAAGAATCGATCTTGGCGGGCATGGAATCAAATAGCTTTCTCGCTTCGACGGTATGCCCGCGCTGGGCATACGCGGTGATCATCGCGTTCCAACACAGCTCGTCCCGAACGGGGGTAGAATCAAAGAAAAACCGCGCCGATTCCAAATCTCCCGAGCCCCGAGCGAGCGTGTGGATCATGGTGGTGATCGTGATGGCGTCGTGCTCTGGCATGGCGGCGAAGAGGATACGTGCGCGGCACAGATGCCCTCTCTTGGCATACGCGTTCAGCATCGCATTGCAAGAGACGAGGTCGCGGTTGGGCATCTGGGCGAAGAAGAGCTCTGCCACTTTGATCGCCTCTTCTCCCTCCATTTCCCCTGCCACCAAGAATGCCGAGAGCATTGTGTTAAAGGAGACGAGGCTCCTCTCGGGCATGGAATCGAAATGGGATTTGGTAGCAGCCAAATGCCTAGCTGTGGCATATGCGGCAAGCATTCCATTCCACGCAATCAAATCCCACTCTGGCATTGATTGAAAGACTATCTGGGCTTGATTGATCAATTTTTTTCGGGCGAAATCGCACAAAGCTTGAGTACATGAAGTCATATCCATTTTTATCCCGTGCATAAATTTTATAAATTGTAGATGTACTTGTGGGACAACAATGCATTATAAATCTCTTCATGGAAGAGAGCGAGACGAAAAAATGCATGTATAAATAAAAAACAATTACCATTAATCTAGCAAGCAATTTTAGCTAAGGGTAAATAAAGTATAAGACATTCATCTGAGGTAAGCTTTAGAGGAGTAACCCATTGAAGACCTAAAGCACGCTTTGATAAACTGCAATTATATATTTAAAAGACCAATCACCATAATTGTCTCGGCATATATAAATAAACATTCGTGAGAGAATGATTCAGAGCACAATTGTCTCTCATGGAGATCCTTTCGCTTGTTTTAACGAACCATCTTTGTTTAGGTTTCATTGACAGCTACAAGCTCCCGAGAAAACCTTTTCTCTCATTTTGATTAAGTTTCGAATCCATGAGATTGGCCTTCAATGATAGCTCTTTCGTTCTGACGCAGCACTCCTGGTTCTCAGGCAGCTCCCAAACACCTAAATTAGAAGTATGGTTGCTTTGAGTGATAAATACCTTCCAAAAGGTGAGATGCGCAAAAGACCTTCTAATACCCTCTCCACATTAAAATTGCATCTTGTGAAGGCTATAGAACGGAAATAAAAAAGCTATGAACTAGTGAAAAAAACTAAAGTACCTATGAACATCAGTTCTCAAATGCTTCATAAGGCGCTCTCCTGTTACTCCAAATGAGTAGTGCAAGAAGAAGTGTGTCACCATGACAGTGACGTCAAAGTACTTCTGAACTTTGGGTGGAAAACTTCTCGAGCAGCAGGCATGTCTCCACACTGAGCAAGCACGCGAGTAGTTTATTCCGTCCAGATTTCTCTCCCGGATCTGCGAGTGGAGCCTCTTCTCTGCTAAGTCGCCGCGTGCCTTGAGCGCCACCATGAAAGTCTGAGCGTTTGGCTGCCTCCTGAACACTTCTGATGCTTCCACATGTCCACGAGGCTGCTTGCGACGAATGCATACGGCTTTGTATTCACAATTTGCAAGGTAGACCAACCAATCCTGTTCTTCGTCCCATCCTGTTGAACAGCCTGTGTTGCAAGCCGCAGTGTAGAAATTGCACTTGTTTGATTCCCGGCTTATGATGCTCTTGACTCTGGAGAAACTTATCTGGCCGCTATGCCCTGCACTGCTTCTTCTCATCGAAGTTGAGATTTGAGCGCCTGCAAGAACAGAGAATACGTTACCTTTCTCAAACCTTTCGTCTCAAGCAACTTCTCTGGCCTTTGGAGGCTGCTCCCCCGTCACTCTAGAGAATAGCTCAGTCAAATCGAAACTTGGTAGGTTCTTACTCTATTTTCCAGTCCATTTTCGGAGCCAGCTGTGCAATAACTTCCAAATCTGGTGACTTCCACCAGTCGACCCTTGTATACCGTCCGTGAGCAAGAGCCTGCTGTCCTCTTGCTCTGCAACTTCATTTCCTTGAAGATTGTTTGTACACAATCTTCCATGTGACAACGCATGCAACATAGCTGACTTACGCGTCACTGCCAGTGTTGGCAGGACACTTTGAGGAGAATCCCAGAGTGCCATTGCTGTGCGAACCACGAGTGTGAGCTTCCAGCTGTTTCTTCTCAGTCAGAGAATCGTCCACCACAACTTCGATCTGCCACCCGGGATCCTGAAAGATCGCATTCTTCCTCCGAGAGAACATCCATCGCACGAGCAAAAAGAATGCGAGCAGCACCAAGATCGCAACCAAAACCCACAGAAGAAGCTGGAGCAGCGACCACGGCGTCCTCCGAACCACTGTAACTACTGCTGCGGGTGTTGGTGTGGCCACTGCTGTGTCCGGACCCTCGCGACGATGGTGGTGGTGGTGGTGGTGGTGGTGGTGGTTGTGGCGTCCTCCATGGTGGTGACCATGGTGATAGTGGTGAACAACCAGAGGAGCTCCATCACCGTGATGATGATGGTACACTGCTGCTGCTGGAGCTGGATCGTGGTGGTGAGCATCAGGCGCTGGAGCTAGATGAGCAGGGGGGCCGCGAGCAGGGTGAACGAAAGCAGCTGCCGCTGGGGCTCGAACTGGAGCGTCACCTTGAAGAAGTGGAGCTAAAGCTGGCGCTGGCTCGTGGCCTCCTCGAGGATGGTGTGGTGGATGTGCTGGAGCTAGAGCTGGAGCTCGCGGGTGTGAAGTGCCAGGGCGCTGGAGCTCGGCGGGCAAGCGTTGGGGCGGCGTGAGCGCGAGAGACCATAGCTTACCTCGACAATAGAAAAATCCAAGCGAAAAAGATTATAACCTAACCCTTTGACTTAGAAAATAAAGAGGTATTTTTGGCTTTGTGAAAAAAACATGAATAGACTTGAGAGTTTGTGACGCTGTGGCTTGTTGGACTTGAACTGAGCATGCCAAAGAGCCCAAACCTAGATGTGAACAGCGATTTAATTTCACAATCACGAAATGCTCAATATTTCAAAAAGATAAGACATCTTTAATTTGATGGCAGGCTCAATCGTAATGTACTTGCAGTGAACAAAACTTTTTTACTCGTTTGCAAAAAAGTGGGAAAAATAAACATAAGATAAATATCTATGCATTGCTCTGCTGATAGTCTCACGGTGCAACATCCATCCATAGCTCCCCCAGAGGTCAACACCAGGAAAATCGGTCAAATAATTGAACATATTTGGAGATGATCCCTAAGCGAGCGCTCTACCATCTGAGCTATCTCCCCTTAGCAAAGAAACAAAAATGCCAAAACTTTTCTCTTCACCATGCTAATGCTCATCCTTTCTGGCAGCTTTGTTGCATTTCAAGAGCCTTTTGAGAGATGAGCTTTGGAAAGACCACCATCTCCAGCAAGTTTCTATAGCCAAGCAGCTGCATCTGCAGGCAACCATGAAGAATGTTACTAATGCTTATAATAATAATACATAATATAGTAATAGTATTCACATGAGGAGGAGGAAAAGGGATAGTGTTTTGCTTTGCAGTGTTATGCAAGAGGATGAGTAAAGCAATTGGTAAAACCAACACAATATAAATCAATTAGTATGGTCTTCTGTACCAATTAAATTGTTTAAACACTAATATTATTTGGCATTTTGGTTTGCTAGTAAACATATTTGTATAGCTAAAAGTCTTTCAAATGAGTAACTTTTTTTTCTTACAAAATTTTAAAATTGGAAACATCATTCAAAATTTAAGTGCATTTCATCAAAGTTCTATAGTCGGCTATTGCTTATGCCATGGCTTTGGATTTTATTTCAATCATGGTTATCAGCAGTTGTATTAGTGATTTTGTGGGAATTTTAGATTCTTGTGATAGTTTATAATTGCCTAGTAAAGGTTCCAGATGTTTCACCTGACTTATTATTATCATCTTTTCATCTTTTGAAGAAGGTTTGTAAATACATGTATTACCCTAGCTAGTTAATACATTAATTATAATATTATAACATGTGGACCATCCATTTATGACTGAATTTGGTCCATCCATTCTTGTAGATAAGCAGAGGTTTAAACCCCAATTAATATACCTATTTTTATATCCCGAGCATTCACAGTTAATATTTATATTAAGCCCTTTCATTATTAATATAAAGTCTCTTTGAATGTAATTATAAGAAATGCTCTATATTGTTTTTGGTGTAATTTATAGATAAAATTTATTTTACCAATATCTATTTTTTCACCCCATGTTCAGATGTGATGATGAATCCAAAGTTTAAGATTTGGATCCATCCTATGCAAAGAATGAAAGATTTTAGAATTTTTAATGTTTAAAGAATTATATGTAATGGAATTACTTGATTATGATGTTGTAACGCTTCTCATTTACAGTATCACTTCTATAACTAAAAATTGTATATTCATGATGATGGTATTGTTGTTTGATATTGATCTTTTACTTTTAACTATAATGCCTTTGAGTATGTTGCATTTTCTTCCTTTGACTAAGTATTTATAATCTTCATATATTTGTTGTTTCTTGTCTACTAATATGAAATCAAGAAAGATTTAAATAACTTGAATTGTAATTATAAAGTTTGTATATTTGTATAGGTTATGGTTAAAAGAACAATATAACATCTAATCTACAACAAAATCTCAGAGAAAATTAAGCCCCAAGTTTTAAGTGGGTTTAATCAAAGAATTTATGGAAACAAAAGTTCATATACTAATGTAAATAGGTTTCTGAATAAGCTTGTACAGGTTTAAAGTGACCAAACACTATAGATCTAGAATTGGTTTTCTTAAGGAAACCTGTAGGGGTATTGAATATACTTAAAATATGCTTGCAGATTCTATGATTTTTTAATATCTAATATTTGTTGTTCATTTAGATTAATATTTTTATTTATAATTTATAAACTTATTTTCTAGTATAAATTCTACTATTGATATGAAATAATATTAATATTGATTTATAAATTATAAATATGTTTATAACTATTATACTACTGCAAATTAATTAAGAGATAAGTATTGTCTCTCATATTTTTTGTTTGCTTAAGCAAACACTGAGATGGTAGTGGATATACCTAGAATATGCTTGGATATTCTAGGATATTCTACCATCTAACAGTTGTTAGTCTTGTATTTATAATATATAAACATGTTTATAATTTACAAACTTTCTTAAACCGTTTCTAGTATATTCTTTATTCTATCATCTAATGGTTGATATGAAATAAAATTTATCTTGTATTTAACATGTTTATAATTATAAACTGTATTTGATCAATAAGATTAATAAGTAATAATAAAACTACTATTAACCAAACCATGTTACATGCAACGTGTAACAATTTATTTATCCCTTCACTATGGTGTGCCAGCTAAGATCCTTTCGCTTTTTTCAGGTACCATCTTTGTTAATTTTTTTAACATGTTTATAATTTATAAAATCTCCTTCTAGTATATTCTTTTCT